TAATATTTCTTAATTATGTGATTTTTTTAATTTTTCAGGTTATCCATGGAAGATTAGGAGAGGGGGTAGCTCGAGTCTTCTTTGACAATAATTAGAGATGAAAGGATGTGTCTTTCCCAGACTTTTATTTTAATTTGTTTTAGATAGTTTCACGTATGTTTCTTTGGAACAATTAGGATATTAACTATTATCATTAGTATTGAATATTTGAGGATGGTGGAATATTATTTATTGATGTTATTAATGAATGGAGTTTTGTTTTCCCTTTTATTCATTATTGGGTATTTTTAATATATTTGTGTTGTGAATCTCAATTTCATATTGAGAATAATATGATATTTGCCTATGAATAAAAAAATTATCATTAATGTATATTAGAAATTTATAGTTTATAATGACGGTTTTATAAATTTTTTTAGTACATCAACGAAGGGAAAACACCATCGTTGATGGGTTACTAATTACCCACCATGAGGACTTCTACGACGGTATCCAACCGTCATTAATAGGTCTTCAACGAGGGGGATCTCATCCGTTATTACACAATAACAACGGGAGTACAAAACCATTATTACACAATGACGACGGGAATGACAAACCGTCATTTTACAATAACGATGGGAAAAAATCTCTACTGATGGTAACGACGTTGATAATTACCGTCACGGATATGAACCATGGGAAAATTCCCCGTCACTGATGGTAACGACGGTGATAATTATCGTCGCAGATATGAATGACGGTAATTTGTTCCGTTGTTATAGACTCTATAACGACGGGTATTATAACCTTCGTGACCCTTTAGCGAAGAAGGCTTCAACGACGGGTGACGAAGGGATTATTTCCTGTCGTTAGCATACAATAACGAAGGTTTTTAGTTCTTTAACGAAGGAAAATCCCTTCGTTAAAGACGTAATTTCTTGTAGTGATAGATCTGAACTTGAGGAGCAGTCGAACTCAAAATTTCCGTCATCAATTTCTTCTTCTTCTCTCCTTTTGGTCTAGTTGACCCCATGATCTCCTCCTCCGAGTTGAAAATATCATCGTCCTCCAAGAAACTAGAATCAGATTGATCAACAGGAGATTTCAAACTCACATTTGATGATCTAATATCAATATCAAGAATCTTGTTGCCATTATTCCTCTCTTTTTTTTGCCATATCAAACAAGGCGGGGGCGCACGTTAACAAGAACAGAATCGTCTGCTAACATGCGCCAAAGAAAAAACCGCCCCAAACCCCAACCTAAAAAGATTTAAAAAAAAGGTGCTTTTAGCGAAGGAGAAAGGCAAAGATCAATCAATTAATTAGCTGCTTCTTTAACAATATACCATTGATGTAGCATAACTAAATGGATGATTAACAACATAAACATCATGCAGTTTGTAGATTATTTAACTAACTCACCTTTTTCTTTAAAAGAATTAGGTTGCCGCTAAATTTTGCTTTTGGAAGTTCTTTGAACATAGACGTATCACTGTACCAGTCCGTGGACAGGGTTTGACACGACAGAACTAGCATGTTGACAAATTAATTAGTTAATGTCACGCAAGATTCTTGTTGTGTTTAAAATACATGGGGGTTTATTAAGGGTGAAGTGGGCTAATTTATTAAAAAGGTGATCGAAGGGGTTTGCTGGCCAATTAACATGATTAGATTTTTCGAAGTATAACTGAGAATCGAGCCACAATTAGTTAGTGGCCAATTAACATGATTAGATTTTTCGAAGTATAACTGAGAATCGAGCCACAATTAGTTAGGTCCCACTTACCATGTTATCAATCTTAACATGATCATGCTGCAAAACAAATTCATGTCTCTATGAAAAGAAGCAGCATATATAGCCGCCATAATACCTACGTCTTAGGGACAATGACAACCATTAATTAATCCCACAAGTACTGTGTTGAATTCTATTATACGTTCTTGACAAAACGAAAGTTCCAAAACCTTTGAGATGAAAACTATATATCGTTTTATAATTTGCTATAATGAGTTCCATACGATATTATACAAAACTTATCCTAGTCTTAAATCAAATCCAATTAATTTCCCAAACATAACTAATTAAGGAGCTACTTATGTTGCCATGTTTGGCTAGCAATCTCTCAATTTGACTCACGTAATGATAATGATGGTTCTCACTTGCGTTCTAAATTAAGTACTCTTTGGAGAGCTAGCACGTGATCTCTCTAAGCACCTAACATGTGTAAATTAAAGAAAAAAAATCTTCAATCATTAAGCCCTAGCGCTAAGCCCACACCACATACCTGGACTTTAAAAAAAAAAAAAAAAAAAAAAAAACTAGCTAGCTAGGGTTTCTCCATAAGACCCACACCACACACCTATAGCTAGCTACAGCTAACCCTAGCTAAGCCTAGAAGAACCTAAGACCTACAAAGCGTCCCATGCACATGTTGATATGTACCCAGATGAGCCAATAAGTCACACTAGTGGTGGCTCAACAAAACAGGGCAGCATAAAACAAGCCTTTCAAAGACTCGGCTCGTGTTGTTTTGTGAGAGCTTGCAAAAAGTGGTCATTTCTATTTGATGACCAAACCGTTAAACCATTTATACACGCAAAGGCGCTGTCCGTGTGTTTGAGTGTTTTTGGGGGCGAGGCTACAAGGTTAAGGGAGTAGGAGTTTTTGGGTTGGGTTTAAAAGATGGAGGAGTCATGTCCGAAAGCTCAGTGCACCAGATATATATATATGCCTGATATAGGAGAACGCCTTCGTTCTTAATTTGTTATATAGTAAGCTCATGAGAGGCCTAGGGTTCCCATGAGTGTCATCATGCGTGCATGTATAGTCTATTTCATCACCTGTTATAGAAATTAATCATGTGGAGTGAACTCTTTCTTGATTGTGAATTGTTTGGCTTGGGGGGTTGATTGATTGTTTCCACTTATGGTTATGGCCGGCCTCTTTCATTTATTTATATGTATCGAGAAGTATAGGTCATATATCTTCTTTGATAGATTGTTATAGTTGTTATCGAGAAGTACTATTTGAATTTAAATTGTCGCCAAATTAATTGGTCTTACCTCCGGAACTTAAGAAAATACAACTAACATCATTTTTTTTTTTAATTTTTTTTATTTAATCATTTATTTTTTATCCGTAAGTTAGTTTCTGTTTTTTTTTTTCATATCAAAAGGAACTCATACAAAATCCTCCAGGCACACCTGGCCATTTGAGTACATATGCATGATCTTAAAGCAATTACATTAAGGTGTTGTTGATAACAAAGTAGTAGCCAATCTGCAGGGATAGGTCCTTTGATCCCACAATTCCTGAGTTTCAGAAGTTGCCTCCACCCCCATGAATCCCCTATTTTGACCTCCGCGAGCTTCACATAATTAAGCTACTTCTCTTCAAATAAGTCTCGTGGATTTTTTTTTTTTTTTTTTTTTTTTTTGGTTTTTTTTTTTTTTTTTTTTTTTTTGGTCAATGGAAAATTTTATTCGCTCACCAAATTTGTAATTTTTATATACGTACATCATGCTACTCATTATATGAGATATCAACAAAACAACCTTGCTAAAGATAAGTAACACAGGAAAAACAAATCACCCAACCAATCTAACAGCTACAATGAATAGAGCTCATGGATCCATTTTATCCACACATATAGTCTTTTTTTCTCATGTATCGCTTTTTCATTTAGGGGGGGAAAAAGACATCTCCAGTCAAACTCAAGAGTCTATAAATTTTCTGATCATATTAGTGTCTAAGCTTCGTTTGAAGATTCATGAACATGACGTATAGATTTCCCCGAATACAATATTGTATCTTTTTTTTTATTTCAATTGAAAGTACAAATGCTGAATAAAACCCATTAATTAGATGATTTGGATTTAGCCATTTCGGGTGCGTGCGTGTTCTAAATGTTAGGTAGTTTCTCTAGGAGTTTCAGAATATTTCTGATTAAAATTCATTTTATAAGACCAAAGCCCTTCATATTATAAAGGACGGTGCTCGAGTTCTATAAGCGTAACGTTGCCCTTGTATAATTAATTCGTTTATTAATTCTGACAATATGTTGATACATTTTTTTTTTTCATGTTAAACTTTATGATCAGCTTTTGATTCACGAGTCACATTGAAAATGCATGCTGAATGATTGCTGCTCAGACTTCATTGAAAATGCATGCTGAATGAGTACGCAGTTACTCAACGTGTCTAATAATTAACACCCACCTGGGAGGTCCCAATATGTGCCCTTCTGGTTCAATTCCAAGTTGGGTTATTAAAAAAAAACCCTAATAATCCGTAATTTACATATCTAGTATTTAATATCTCCAAAGACAAATCTGCTCTCATTAAAAAAAAATCTGATAATCCATAATTTACAGATCTAGTATATCTAATATTTTCAAAGAAAATTCTGCACAAATGACCGTCTCAGCATACATATCTGGTATCTAATATTCCATAGTTTACAGGAATATATTCTCATTTGCATTTGCAGCATCAAATAGGTTTGTTAACAGAGAACACACTTAATATGATCTGGAGTGAATCATGCATGCGACTGGCAATAGCAATTCGCGGTTCTTGCCAAGTTTTTATCGACATGAAGCTAGGTCAGGATCACAACTCAAAAGAATATATAACCAGCTCTCCTAGTTTGCAGGTCATGAGAAAACCTTGGCATCTGTGACAAAAGTTACATGATCGATCAGCCTATTGTATATCCGTCAATGTGGCTCATCGATCTGCAACGTAATCGTAAGCACCAAGCTCGAAGAATTCTCTAGTCCTGTATGGAGGGCTAATTTTGACTCGAGTATGTCTTGCTAACTCTGTTTAAGGTTCTCTTGCAAGTTCGTAGGGTCGATAATACAATTCAGATCAATATCATCTTTGAGAATATAACCTATTCTAAAAACTAGAAATTTTCCTGAATGATTCAAAGTCTCGCGTTTTCTAACTTCTATTGATGAGTAAAAATACCTGTACATAATTAAAGGCTCACATTCTTCATCAGCATGACCATAAACTACACGTACCCTCTAAATAAATCTCTGGGTTACCAATTACCTCCTTAACATAGAAATCTTTCATTTTCCAAACATTTAGTGGCCAAAATCATCTATTAGTTGTATATTCTATTAACATGTTAATACCACAAATAGCTAACAAGTTCTAACCTGTCAAATTTTTGAACCAATATCAACCAGTAAATCCCTCTTAAAAGTCTCCCTCCCTCCTCTAATACTAATCAGTGCTAGCTCCTTTAGTTCCCAAATCCTGAGGAGGAGCCACACCCCCAAAACCACCACCAACACAATGAGGGACCTCAACGGACCCTCGCCTTTCTCTTTCTTCTCCTTCGTCGTTCTTCTTTCTTCCCTTTTCTTCTTCTTGGCCCTCGGCGATGGTGAAGACGGCAGCGAAAAGGGACTTAAGGTCGGATTCTACAATCATTCGTGCCCGCAGGCAGAGAGGATTGTGCTCCGGGCTGTCGTAAGGAACTCCCTGATCAATACGGAGGTCCCTGCCGGCATCATTCGCCTCCTCTTCCACGATTGCTGGATCAGAGTAACGATCATTATTATTTGGTTATTTGTGCACACGTCTCATGTAGCTCTAACCGTCACGTGATTTTCACGTGAACTTAAAAACCAACAGGGTAATAATGTCGTTGCATAATTCAGACAAATTTCAAAACTAATGGAAAATAATGTCATCTCGGAGGCTAAGGTAATGTATGTGCTAAAACGATAAGTGGATCTGAATTGTTCTATAATGAGAGATATACTTCGTGTCATTTTCAATCCGGCTTTTTTCGTCAAGATCTAAACTTGATCAGATGTGACCACCTCATTGCTGAGGACCATTTTCGTTCGTTGGTGTAGCAAAGATATCCATTTTTTTTCTCATATTGAGATTATCATTTACTTACATCTTTCTACTGTTTTAGGGCTGTGACGCATCCTTACTGCTAGAACGGACACCAGAGTCGCAGGAAGGGCAGACGGAGAAGGCCTCCCCAGCCAACGGCAAGACTCTCCGCGGTGTTGAGGTCATCCACGAAGCAAAAGCGGCCCTCGAGGCCGAATGCCCGAACACAGTCTCCTGTGCCGACATCCTCTCCTTCGCTGCCCGTGACGCCGTCACCATCGCCGGCGT